TTTAGATTTTATTATACCATAAAAAATTTGTATCATCTGATTGAATTCCCAGACTCTGAATACTTTCCTTACTACTTCCCTCCCACCCACCCAGCCAATATGTGTAGGGCATTTGTAGTATTCTCAGTGCGATTCTGCATGTTTTGTCAGCCAGAGTTTTGCTTGATATGAACCTTTATTGAGTGTTATGGAAAGGAATTCATCTCTTGTAGTATACAATGTCTCATTATATTGACTCTTAGGTCACAAGTTTAAAGTAGAGAATATGGATCATCTTTTAAAGTCACTTTCAACTCTGGTTCTTTGAGCAAAAATAGCAATTCCCCAACTTTTTTTATTCTCATAATTTTTCAGTTATCTTTTCTTTAATTTTTTTATATTTTTTTAAGATTTTATGTATTTATCTTTAGAGGGGAAGGGAAGGAGAAGAATATCAATGTATGGTTGCTTCTCGTGGGTCCCCTGCTGGGAACTGGCCTGCAGCCCAGGCATGTGCCCTGACTGGGAATCGAACCACAATTGTGTGGTTCGCAAGCCCGTGCTCAATCCACTGAGCTACACCAGCCAGGGCCAATTATCTTTTTTATTGTTATTCAATTACAGTTGTTCCCATTATTCCCCCATTACCCTCCTCCGCCCTACCCACCCAACTTCCCACATTCAGTACTACCCCCCACATGGTCTTTGTCCGGGGGTCCTTTGTACATGTTCCTTGATGACCCTTCCCCTTCTTTCCCATGTTATTCCCCTCACTCTTTCCCTCTGGTCACTGTCAGTTTGTTCTTTATTTCCATGTGTCTGGCTCTGTTTTGTTTGCTTACTTGTTTTGTTGATTAGGTTCCACTTATAGGTGAGGTCGTATAGTATTTGTCTTTCACTGCCAGGCTTACTTCACTTAGCATAATGTTCTTTGGGTAGAATATCCACCTGACCTTCTTTTCTGTGTATATCACCTTATAGCTATTTTATCTGAAGGCTGTGTGTAGAGTAATATGTGTTGGTCTTCACTTGATACTGATAGAGAAAACACCATCAGGGTTTCGCCCTTTTCTGATGAGTCTTGCTCTTTGTCTCCTACTCCATGCCAAGCTACCTAACACATGTGTTTCTTCTTTGTATATTTGCTAGACTTAAAAATATTATCACTTATATCTTTTAACACATAGGACTTGAAACTGCCCATTTCTCAGATATTATCCTGGTCTCAATGTTCTTTTTTGTCTTTTTTTCTTAATAGCATTGTTGTAATTAAATAGAAGTCTCCCTATTGAAGTAGCCAGAGTATAAGTTGCTGAAAAAGAATGCATTGCATTCAATAAAGTAACAATATTGTCCCTGCTTTGAAGATAACTATTTAATAGTATATAGCATTGATGCTGTATTTATTTTATATAGAGGAATTTATAAATGCTTTGGATGAATGAAAGCTGGAGATACCATGGTAAAACAGAAGTATAGTATTCAAAAGCCTATAACTATAAGATTTTCAGTGCCATCTACACATTTGAAACTCACTAATATACCAATAATGAAAAATCAGAATTGACTCAGTATGTCAACAGTTCATTAATTAGAGAGCCAGTGCTTCCATGTCTGGAAGTAAATGTTATTTTTAAGATTCTGATCATTTTTGTTTGTACCTACCTATTCATGGTCCACATTAGAACCCATTCTGTCTTCATATCTCTGTTTTGCAATTCTGACTTCCAGTTTGAACCAATTTACAAATTGTCTCCAGAGAACCACAGTGCTTTTACTAAATTTATAAAGTTTGCAATTTTAAATAGAAGTAAACTCCCTGCCAAATCTGCAAGATCTAAAAGCATTGGAATGTCTGTTTTGGCCATGTTAGCTTTTGTTTACAGAGCAGGTTCTGTAAATAGGAAAGCTAAAAAGCTTTCTGAATTTTATTTATTCATTGCAAGGTTTTGTGGTGGTATTTTAAGGCTGCTTTGAGACATGGGGGGAAAAGTGTTGTTTAATGAAACCAAAGCAGTAGTAGCAAACCTGTTCCCGATAACGTTAAATGTAATGATATATATAGGGATTAGGGATTTGGTTTACAACCTTGGACAAACCTACACATTGATTTTGAATGTTACCTTTCTGATAGTTTGGTAATGGTATGCTAGAAATTCAAATTTACCTTGAGTAGGTTTACTGTAGTATAACTAATCTGGTGACTAAGCAAAATACAGACAAGGACATTATTATCTGGCCATTAGAATGCAGTGAAGCTGATGGTTGTGGCCAGTAGGGAGATAGAGACAAACCTGTGTTTTGTGAAATATTAATTAGTGTGTGACTTGCTGCAAAACCAAAATAAACAAGAGACAACCAAACAAACACAATATGTGGGACCCCTAATGTAGTATGCAGAACGAGGCCACTGCAGGGACTCAGTCTGGTGGATGTGTTGGCAGAGATATGAAGAACATGCAGATATGTGTGTGTGTTTAGGTTTGCTAACTGCAAACCTAAAAGCAAAAAAAAAAAAGATGGGAGGAAGGAAGGAAAGGAAAGAAGGAAGGGGGAGAGGGGGAGGGAAGAAGGAAGAAAAATATATGTGTGTGATTTATCACTTGACTTAAATCCCCCCCCCCCAAATACTGTTTCAAGTGACAACGGGAGTTAGGCCTGGTGAGAAATGGTATGAAATATATTCAGTTGGCTAGACGATTGGTTGACCAAAGCTAATAAAAGTAATTAACTATATCAGAGCACACTGAGACTTGGCTAAGGACTTTAGAAAAATTTTAAAGATTATGCTGACCTTATTAGAAATTGTCTTAATTACATCTATGAAACTGGACAAGATAGAAATAATGAGAATCATATTTTAAAGTACCTTTGTTATCCCAGAAACTATACTTTTCAAAGCTGTTTCAGCAGTAGTACTAAGTGTAAGAAAGTTTGACAGGACCTAGTAACTACGAGGTAGGATCCTGTTTCAGCACAGCCATCGGGCAGTTGAGAGACCTAGTATGGTTCATAGAAGTGAATTTTTTATTTAATATAAGATGTATGACGTATAACAAAAGGAATTCATTTTAAGATTTGTCTGTCCTAAATAATAATAATCATCATTATTATTATTATAAATACAAACATAAATGAATAACCACTTACCGTCCGGCGTAAGTAGACCACAACCCACACCTCTAAAGCCCCCTTACGCCCCTAGGCAACGGTACCTCCTTCCACAGGGATGACGGCTGTGGTGACTCAACTGTGAGCCTTAATCAGTCAATATTTGATTTTCTTTGTTTTAAACTTCATATAATTATAACTTTGAATTGTTTGAAGTTGGCTTTTCCCCTTAGTTGATTTTTTTAGTTTCATCCATGTTTATAGTTATGGATTATTAATTTTTCTCGCTGCATACTATATTATTATAGGCTATACCCCAATTTGAATTATCTGTGTTAATGTGAATGGATATTCAGGTTGCTTCTAGTTCTTAGTTCTGTTACAAAGAATGTTGTAGTGAACATGTTTGCACCTGGTGCACATGTGCAAGAATCTTGCTGGGGCATCTAGCAGTTGATTCACTGGGTTGAATTTGTGTGTTTAATCTTCCTGGGTCATGCCGCTTTTCCAAAGTAAGTGTATAGACGCTTCCCCTACATCATCACTGACACTGTGTCAAGCCCTAGAAATGATGACACAGACACTTCATGCCTTTTTGCACTGTCACTGTTACTGTGTTCAGGTGCTAATGCTGACTTCAAGCCAAAAAACAAACACGTGTGTACAGCTCCGAGAGTCCCCACTGCACAGTTGACCACAGAAGTGACATCAAGGGACTGATAAATTCGGGAAAAGATTGTTTTTGTGAGATTCCCAATACATGAACAAAATATTTATAGCATTTAATAATAAGGACATGTAGTTTTATAATGTATAAACTTAATCTCTAACATGCCTGAGAGGTCTTATCTATAACTAGTGTTTAATTTATTGAAGTAAGTCAATTATGTATTTAAAAATAAAATTAACTTAGTCTTTGAAGAACGCAACATTTTATTTCAGACAAAGGACGTGGCAAGCCCAGAATTTACAATATTTGGGATAGTAAAATTAGAGCTTTGGTGTGTTTTTTCAAAGTGCTGTCAGGCCTTCAGAAAGAGTTGCCTTTTTCCTCTATTCCCATTACAACTATTTTGTAGGTTCCTATCTATCATTTTCTCTCTTTTTTAATTCAAAAATCTAAAACTTACAGTGGATCCCTGTCACTTAAATACACACTCCTTTGCTTCCCCCCTCTTTTCCAAAAGTGGTTCCTGTGGCATCTACTGTTCCTCTGGTCCCTGAGGACAGAAGCCTGCCAGAGCCCCAGACACCTGTACCTTTCCACTCTGTCGTTTACCAGCTGAGCAGTCTCAGGAAGTCCCTTCACTTTACTGAGTCTCAGTTTCCACAGTACTAATTTCAGAGAGTTGTAAAGTTTTTTTGATAAAATATAAAACAATGTATAAAATTCCTGGTAGTCCGATGCCCCACAATTAATAACTTCTGTGTGCAAGGTAAGAACTATACTATGCAAATTTTGTATACTCTCTTAGATTTTTCAAACAATACTGCAAAAATACAGTAAAGGAAGCTGAGACCCCCGGCAGTCAAATCATTGCTCAAGGTCTCCAGACTGTAGAGGACTGAGTGCAATTCAGTGCCAGGTGTGCCTGGCTTTTGAAGCCGGACACTCTCATAACTGGCCAGCCTGACACCATCCGTGCTCTGCTTTCACCACGTCCCATCTGTGTCTTCTCTCTGATTCCTTTCTAACTCTGGGTCTCACACACAGTTTTCCCTTTGTTGTTTTGTAATTGTTTCATGCAAATAGCATCACTCTTTGAGGGCACAGGCCTTATTGTATTTTATTTTTCATAGTCTAAACAGAGCGTACACACCTGTGGAGTACTCCATAAACATGTGGTTTCTATAGTACTGCCTCTCATCTGTTTCACCACCGTTTTAATCTTGTGCATCCTGTCTTACAGCTCATTTCAGCGGCCACATGGCACAATCCATTTGGATGATGGTGAATACTGGTCCAACAGGGCAGCCACTTATAAAGGAAAATCCCACCGACCCATCTTTGAGAACAGCATGGAAAAGCTGTACAGGAACTTGTACAAGAAGGCCTGTAGTTCTGCTTCTCATACACAGGAAAGCTTCTGAGGCCACCCACGATAAACCGTGTGAATGTTCGTGTCAACTTCCCAATGAAAACGTTTGATGCGATCGATATCTGTATTCCTTTTTTTTAAACCAGGTGGTTCTAACTGAGTATACTGGTGAGACTTGAATAAGCTTATTACTTCAAATGGTAAATTATCACCAGGCAAGCCTTTGTAGTCACAGCAAAGGGTGCTGTGTCCAGAAGGCAAAGCCCCGCAGCAAAATCACAGCGTCCACTGTGATTACAAGAAGGATGTTGTAACGGGGGTGTCACGTCACTATCTAAAAATCCAAGAGTAGATTCTCTCTGAAAATGTTCCACCTTAAACACATTGTAATTTTCTTTTCATATGCTTAACTGCTTATCTGAGTAAGATTTAATTAATATTAACTCCTTTTTCTTGGTAATGAGCAAAAAGATATACTGTGTAGAAATGAATTTCCCAACAGTAGAAACTCTGTTGTAACTGGTGTTTTCTACTTTTTCCTTTTTAGCTCATAAGAAGTCACTTTCTTCCTAATGTTTATATAACCATTCACTTCATTTTCCCTAAAAGAACTCTCTAAGTTACCTAAAATGCATAACAGTTATCTAGTATAGCAGAGGCTATGAATGACTCAAAATGTGAATAACTTATTTTTAAAGATAGAATTCTTTGCCTGATTTTCTTCTAGGGCTGTATTGTTTGGTGCAAACAGAATCAGAAAATAGCCTTTGTTAGTAAATGCTTACTAACAAAAAAATTGAGAGACTCAAAAAAATTGGGTGGGGATTATATTGTAATTTAATCTGTTTAGAGTTTTCATAGGTACCGCATGGCCCAAGAAAGTAGCATCCTTACTTTAGAGGATACTTGGAACCAAAAAGGGAATAAGATAGTATAGCAGTTCTCTTGCATAGGCACTGGGAAGTCCGTCGGTTGGTAAAGTTAGCTCCTTCCCCAACCCCCAAACGCACTCATGTGAGTCCAGTGACACTTGGAAGGTCTGAAGGAACCAGTGAGTGAGATAAATCAGGGTTTTCTTGAATTTTAGAGCTTACCTTGATGACGATGGAAGCTCGGGCAAATAAACAGTTATCATGTAGTATCTATGGATTTCCTCAGTTCTACTCTGTTTATATATCTATATATTTCTTCATTTTTGTATCAGTTTTGTAGCCGCCCACCATAGCCTAGGCATGTCTCTATTACAGCACTTAAGAAAAACTGAGTTATCAATGACTCTTGTGTCTTTTTCTATCGTTCTTGGTTTTCCTCTGCATTTGAGGCACACAGTAGACACACAATGTTTGTTAAATAACTGCATGAACGAAAAAATACATGAAGGGCCACTAAAAACAATACAAAGCCTAACTGTCTGTATCTAAGAAATAAGATGCCCTGACAAGACTGCTGCTGTCAGCTAGTTTATTTATACCTGTAGCCAAAGAGATAAAAATGGAAAAGATAAGCAAAAATCTTAGCTGTATCTTGGTCCACAGGAGGAGAGGTATGCTTCCTCAGCTGAGAGAGTTGGTGTTTCTGTGGTGAAATCTATTTTTTAAAAGAGTACTCTTAAATTTAAAAAAAAAGAAGTCACAACATGACGGCCTGCCTTCTTGCTTGGTACTCGGCTAATGGACTCGGGTATAAAGTGCTCAGGTGACCAGGGCCAGCTCCCAGACTGCTGCTGCAGAGGGTGGTAAGGACCTGCGGGGTTCGGCAGTGGACCAAGAACGTAATTGCCTCTATTGTTTCCAGCATCTTGTATTCCAATGAAGTATAATTCCCTCCTATGAAATGCAGATGTCTTGGTTCCCAAGATGAGCCTTAAATATTTTCTTTCCCAGGGTCTTTATCTTTTGTCCCTCACAAAGCAGTGCATTTTTGACTGAGGGCTCGAGTTCTCTGTGTTCTAGCATTCAAATGTAAACAACCTAGAAACTATGGTTCTTTTGATTAAGAATTAGTATGATAATTAAAGTATTTATGTGAATATTTAGGCAAAACTGTCTCAATGAAATGCATTTTTTCATTTCTACTAAATCTTAATCTTAGTATGTTGCATTCACACTCTGAAAATTTGCGGAAATGAACCTGGTGGGAGAGAATGTATTCTGCTCTAATACTTATGTAGAGTATGAATGTGCGCCGGCGTTTTGAGGACACGTTTTGTGTTTTTTATTCCCATCCCCACTGTAGTGTTATCGTGGAGGTTTTTTAAAACAAGAAAATTAGGGTAATATTTATGAAGGATCAACATCTGTACTTGTTGATTTTCATGCATTATCTTATCTGATCTTCACAACAACTGTAAACCAGTGTGGGTGTAAGCAGTCTCAGTTTTACAGGCCAGGTGACCGAGGGTCGCACTGCTGCGCTGGCCAGTGAGAAACACAGCCAGGAAATGGTCAGGCTGGGATTTGAATCCAACCCCGGCCTGCTTCTCAGCCAGATAAGTGGTTAAAAAGCTATGCTTGTCACAGTTCATAAATTTTTAAACGGTGCAGCTAGTTATCTCTTCTCAGAGAGAACCTCAGTAAATTACATCACAAACTGAGCTCACATTAATGCGGTAAAACCTGGGGCAGATTTCCAACATTCAAACACTAAAAATGAATAAAGAAATCTTGTGAACTAAGAAGTTGGAGGAAGTATATGAAAAGAGTATCATGGAAGATTTATTTTAACTGACACAGGATTTCGGGGTGACCAGAGTTGGTGTATGGGATAGTGCAACATTCCTTCTGTGGAGCCCCAGTTACTCTCTTTGCTTTAGTGACCACTCATTCTTGTAACACTGCCCTTTTTAACAGCTTAATGAGGTATAATTGATAGACAAAGAACTGCACATAATTAATACGTACATTTTGATGAATTTGCATATTTTGGACATAACGCAAACTCCTGTAATTCTGTCACCGTACTCAAGATGACAGATAGATTCCACACCTTCCAAAGTTTCTTTGTGTCCCATTTTTTTGTTCATTAACTATAAGTGCCATGCTGTACAATATACTCATCTTGTATAACTGAGACTTTATTATTATGAACAAATAAAAGGGATATTGACTCCTTATCAGATACATGGTTTGCAGATATTTTTCTCCCATGGCATAGGCTGACTTTTAATTCCATTGACTGTTTCCTTTGCTGTGTACAAGCTTTTTAATTTGATGTGGTTCTGCTCATCTGTTTTTGCTTCTTCTGCTCCTGCTTTTGATGTCATACCCAAGAAACTACTGCCTGGACCGATGCGAAGAGGCTTTTCCCCCAAGTTTTCTTTCAGGAGTTTCATAGTTTTCATATCCTACATTAATCTTCAATCCACTTCGAGTTGATTTTTGTGTGTGGTGTAAGGTAGAGGTCTAATTTCAATTTTTTTTTGCATGTCAGTGTCCATTTTTCCCTACACCATTCTTTGAAGAGACTCTCCTTTCCCCATTGTGTGGTCTCGGCACCCTTATCAAAGACCAGTTCACTGTGTGTGTGTTGCTTCATTCCTGGGCACACTCTTCTGTTTCGTTGGTATATGCCCATCTTTTTGCCAGGACCATATTCTTTTATTACTATGGCTTTGTAATTTAGTTTGAAATCAGGATGTGTGATATCTACAGCCTTTTTCTTCTTTCTTTTTAAAAAAAAAGATTTTATTTTATTTTATTTTTTAGAGAGAGGGGAAGAGGAGGAAAAGACAGGGAGAGAAACATTAGTGAGTGGCTGCCTCTCGTGCGCCCCCTCCTGGGGGCCTGGCCCGCAACCCATGCCTGCGCCCTGACTGGTGACCTATTGGTTTGCAGGCTGGCGCTCAGTGCACCGAGCCACACGAGCCAGGGCTTGTTCTTCTTTCTTAAGATCACTTTGGCTATTCTGAGTCTTTTGTAGTTCTATATGAATTTTATGGGTTTTTTTCCTATTTCTGTAAAAACAATGCCATTAAGATTTTGGTGGGTATAGCAATGAAATGATGGGGATAGTGATCTGTAGGTCAGTTGGGCAGTATGGACATTTTAACAAACCATCTATTAACTATAAAAAATATGGAAGATACATAAAAAGAAAAATGAATCAACATCACTACAAAAAATCAACAAAACAAAGGAAGAGAGCAAGATAGAGGAACAAAAAAAACTACAAAATGAAACAACAAAATGGCACAAGCGAGCCCTTTTCTATAAATAATTATCTTAAACATAAGTGGAGTGAGCTCCTCAAAGGGCATAGGATGGCTGGAGGGGTGATAAAACGAGGCCCACTGCCTGCTGTCTACAAAACTCACGTTATGCTCAGGGACGCACAGGCTGCAGGTGAGAGCCCCAGGAAACAGCCTCCCATGCAAACTGAGCAGGGGAGGGCCGGGCAGCTGTAGGGGTGTCAGAAGCAATAGACTTTATGTCAGAAACATCACAAGCATCACTACACTCCTGCTGCAGTACAAGTTCAGAGAAGTGTAGCCTTTGGAGTTCATGACATAGTTCAGAGATAAGGTGAGATGCATATCCTTTTAATGTCTTTGAACCAATGCAATAGGCTTGAGAATAAGTGTATCCTGTTAGAGCAGGCTGTCAAACTCATTTTCACTGGGGGCCCCATCAGCCTCATGGTTGCCTTCAAAGGGCAGAAATAATTTTAGAACTGTATAAATGTAACTACTTCTTAACTGTTGTGGCTGATGTGGCCCCCGGTGAAAATTAGTTTGACACCCCTGTGTTAGAGCATCCTTTTTATCAATGAAACTCATTCTTCACCTGAGTTTTTATCTGTGTTTGATTTTCAGTAAAATTAGTGATACATGCAAACAAAATGTTGAAGAATTTATGTATATATAGATTTTCAGAAAATTCTGTTTCCAGCAATATTTCATAGCAGAAAAAACACTTCTTTATAACTTTTCTGAACCTGTTTTTCAGTACCTGTGAAATAGGCTGTTAATAAACATTGTTCTCTATCCCTCAGAGAAGTAGTAGGACTGAATAGAAAAATAAATGTGGACATTCTTTGACATATATTAGGGATTTTTATACTTTTTGGAAATGGTCTGGAAAAGGAATTTGCAATTTCAAAAATATTTCATCTGGCATAATAG